TGAGTCTCTATGAGTGGGAACCAACTTGTCTGCACCTGAGAACCACAATAGCAAGTCCAGAATCTGAAGGTGCACGATTCGGACCTCTAGCATAGAAAGGTCATGGACTTAGACTAGGCAGAGCTTAGATTGAAGCTCACTAGATTTGCTCGGAACTAGACTAGATAATGTTAACATTATACAGTGAAACCTAATTGATGTGGTTTTACTAAACTTCCAAGTTTATTTTTTTTTAAAGAATGTCTTACAATTTAAAAGAGAAGCTAAATGTTCCAAATGTCAGGGGTCTGACTTTTATGATGGTGTATTAGCTTTTGAAAGAACTGTAAGATCTCAATATTTTATAAGTAGCTCTGATGTTATTTTTAAAGTGACAAACAAAATTCAGTAAAAACTTCACCAATGGGCAAATGGAAAAAAAGTTGCTTGCTTTAGTAAAAACAAAAGGAAAGAAAAGAATGATCAATAGTGTTAGCAGAGATTACACTTGTTTACTGAGCACGTCCCTCACCTTGGTTTGATGGTTTCTGTGTGTTTGGTAAGGCAAGCCCTATTATGCTTTTACAGACAAGAACACCAGCTTTGGAGAGATTGTTGTTGTTAAGTGCTGTTGAGTTGCTTCCAACTCATAGCAACCCTGTATAAGGTTTCCGAGGAGTGGCTGGTGGGTTTGAACCATTGACCTTACGGTTAACAGTCCAGTGCTTACCTAACAGTGCCACACCAGGATTCCATTGAAGAGATTTGTTGTTGTTTGTTGTAGTGACTCTGTTTAGGGTTTCCAAGGCTTTAAATCTTTGCAGGAGCAGAAAGACTCATTTTTCTCCAGCGGAGAGGCCAGCAGGCTCGAACCATGGACCTTGTGGCTCACAGTCCAGTGCTTATGGCATGAATTTTATGTTACTCCTAGTGACCCTATGGAACCGAGTAGGATTGTCCCAGAGGGTTTATAACATGGCAAATCTTTATAGGAATGGGCAGCCTCATCTTCCCCTAGGAGGTCTGGTAAGTTTGAACCACCAACCTTACAGGTAGCAGCCCAATGCTTAACTCATTGCACCACCAAGTCTCCTTATTATTGCTGTTTAAGTGCTGTTGAGTCAGTTCCGTCTCATAGCCGCCCTGTATGGAGTTTCCGAAGCTGTAAATCTTTGCAGAAAGCCTCATCTTTCTCCTGCAGAGTGGCTAGTGGGCTTGAACCGCCAACCTTGTGGTTCACAGTCCAGTGCTTATCTTACAGAGCCATGGTGCTCCCTCAGGGATCCTTATGAGATACTAAAGACACTAAAAATCTTTGCTACCACCACCAATTTGAAAAGCAACTCAGTTTTAATACTTCTGGGAATGTACAAAAGGAACTAGCTTAATGCCACAGGGATAGGTGAGGATGATTTGTGATGAACAGATGGACTGTTTTTATGTCCATTTACAATTGGAAACCATTTATTCTCCTGAGTGTTTCAAGTACTTGGGAGGAGGCTTGGTGTAATGAAGAAAGACGGGTCCTTGGAGAACAACACTCCTAGGCCTTCTTCCTTTTCCCTGAAGCATGTCTCCTGCAGCTTGTGTTCCTTTCTTATAGCTGCTGTAGTAAAGATCCCACAAGAGGTGACTTTAAAAAACAGACATTTGTTGTCTCACCATCCGGAGGCTAACAGTCTAAATCAGGGTCTTGGCCATGTTGATTCCTTCCTTGTAGATGATAGTCCGAGGTATTCCTTATTAGCTCATTGGTTTGTAGACAATCTCATGGTATTACCGTGTGTGTGGCTGTTTGATCTGCTCTTTGGAAACCTCAAATTAGATGTAGAATCCACCTGACCTTGCCCTATCCTTGTTAACATTCCAAGGAAAACTCCATTCCGCAACAGAATTGCATCCGCAGGTATAGGGAGTAGGATTTGGTGTGTGTGTGTGGGAACATAACTCAATCCATTGTTGTTAACTGCCATCGAGTTGGTCCCAACTCATCACGACCTTGTATAGGGTTTCTGAGGAGGCTGTAAACTGTTGGGGGAACAGAAAGCCTCCTCTTTCTCCTGCAGAGTGGCGGTGGACTCAAAGCACTGACCCTGTGGTTCTCAGTTTAGTACTTATCCCACAGAGCCATGCGCTCCCTATTCAATCCACAGTTCCTTATCATCTGGTTATTCTGTGCTTCTTCCGGTAGGATACGTGAAGGATCAACCTAGCCATGTGCACATGGTACCAAATTCTGAATTAGTGGTTGGAGTTCATGAGGTTTTACTGTAATTTATAATGGCCCTTCCGGAATCCTGGTGTGGAGCTGGGCGTTAATGTGCTGGATTGCAAAGTTGGTTTGAACCACAAGGTTGGCAGTTCAAGCTCACCAGCTGTTCCTCAGAAACCTTATACAAGGTTGCTATGTGTTGGAACTGACTCGACGGCAATTAACAATGGTATGAAACTGTAGGACACAATCCTACTTCTCTTAGTAGGTGGCTGGTATAATTTGCATGATTGCACCCACAAAATCAAATCACCACTGCAAGTGTTTTTTTCTGTGGTTTGTCTGCGCTCAGGCTGTGGTTTAATCACACAATTTTCTGAGGCTCAAGCAGCTGCTCAAAAAACTGAGTGTGAGGGAATATCAATGGGGAAATCTGAAAAGCACTGAGTCTTTTTAGGGAAAACATAGGAAATCCAGGGCTTAGCTCTGTGCCCAGACACAGGGAAATGTGTCCTAGGCTGAATACACTAGAACTGCCTCTGCAAAGTGGCCTTTGACTGGTCAGCCTGCCAGATGTACACTCAGAAATACAGGCCAGTGGCTCCTCTGGTCCTCTTCTTTTAATTGTTGTTGTTGAGTGCTGTTGAGTCTGTTCTGACTCATAGCCACCTTGTGTAGGGTTTCTGAGGAGAATGATTGTTGTTGTTGTTGTTGTTAAGTGCCGTCGAGTCGGTTCCAACCCATAGCGACACTGTACAGGGTTTCCGATGGTGTAAATCCTTACGGGAGTAGAAAGCCTCATCTTTCTCCCGTGGAACGGCTGGTAGTTTCGAACCGCTGACCTTAAGGTTCGCAGCCCGATTCGTAACCACTATGCTACCATGATTGGTGGGTTTGAAATACTGACCTTGTTGTTAGCAGTCCATTGCTTCTTTTACAGTGCCACACCAGGACTTCCACCCCTTAGCCGTAAGTGAAAAAAGGATCTGCTGTCTCTGAAGGCCTTAGACATCTGTTCAGTGGTCCTCTGGGGAGGCCCCATCCTTCTTTTGGGACAGGAAGAACGGAAGGAAATTTTATGTAGTGGAAATGGAAGAAAATTTATGAAGTGGAAATGGAACAAGTGAATGGAAAATACAACCAGATGTTGGTTGGCTCGGATAGAGGAGAATGTCCAAATTTCAGGTTCCAAGTCCATAGATAAATAGATCAGAAATGAGCATTAGATGAATCATCCTGACAAAACTAAGTTGTTGCTATTTAATCTCTTAACTACATGTATATTTCAAATCTCTCTGACTCCCTTATGTTAAGTCAGTTTTCATTTTCAGTTAAACCTTGTTCAGAAGTCTTCAAAAGAACCTCCTGGAGTCCTTTAGACATAGAATAAACTTAGAGTCCTGGTGTGGCACTGTAGGAGAAGCACGGGACTGCTAATTGCAAGGTTGGTGGCTCAAACTCACCAGCCGCTCCTTGGAAACCCTGTAACAGGTTCACTATGAGTAGGAACTGGTTCAAAGGCATTTGATAACACAACAACAAAAAGTAAACTTTTCTTTAGATCTGCTGGTAGAGTCTTTCACTTTAGTTTAGTTCTAGTCTTGATGAAATAACTTTCTCCCATTGAGTTCCACAAAATTAAGAAGCTCTTCCATTGATCTCCAGTTTTGATTTGCTCCTAGTGGTTTTAGCTCAAGGCTTGTTTATTTCAGCAGTGTAAGCCTGCCCTTTGCTCCCACATTAACAGGCAATCTGACAATGGCAACAGGAATAGCTTCACACATAACCCTCCCTATGTGTTTAATTTTCAAGTCTTTGTTTTGTTTCCAGGGAACAATGAGATAATTTATGTTAAATAGCTGACATTCTTAGTTAATTTCTCTCTCTCTCTCTCTTTTTTTTTTAACAAACTATAAAATTTACACATTTCGGGCTCCTTGTGTGGATTTCTTTTGGTGACTGAATAATCATTTTTTTCTCTCACTGGGAAATCTATGGCACCAAAAAGAATGTCATTAACAGATGACTGACTTGGTGGCTACACAACAGAAAATAACCTTTCATTATGAGCTTGCGAACAAAATTCAAATGATAAATTCAGACAACTGTAAAAAGGGAAAACAGATTTGAAGAGATATAATGCCACCCATCATAGGATTTTATATTTTATTTATTTTTGACTTTCACTGAAGATCAGATTTATTGAAATAAAATAGCAAATAAAGCTACTCTTTGGCTTGGGAGAATCAACCTAGTTTTGGATACTTTTCTGTTTCTCTTGCTCCAAAAGTCATCAATCTCCCCATTTAGCTACAGAGCAGCCAGGTGTTTAAAGTCACAGGGGAATACAAAGAGCTAGTTTCTTACAGAATAGGGGAAATTAAAAACAGAACAACAAAAAAGAGGTTGGTGTAAATAGGGCTTAAAAATATGAAAAATGTAGACCCATTGAACTGAACGCTTATTATTTTTTTTCTTCCTGAAATCTCCCACAGGAGTAATTCTGCTTCAGGGCTGACTTCAAGGACGTGAATAGTTGACCTCATCCCAACTTCAGAATCTCAGATGTCATTCTGACTTTCCCACAATTCCAGGCAAGTTAACTTTTTATGGAAATAAAATGGAACCTTCAGGATCAGATGGAAATTCACTGTGACTTTCAAATCAAGAGAACTTGCTGAAACCCACAGCATCTTTTCCCCATGGGCCCTGATGGTAGCCTCCAGAAGGTGCAGCCTCAGGTGGTCCACCTTCTTCTCTGGCAAGAATAAACTTTGGGTCTTGGATTGCAACGCCACTTGTGGAGAAAATGGTATGCGAGGCAAAGCGCTCCGTCTCTTGCCCTTGTTTCTTCCTCCTGACTGCCAAGTTCTACTGGATCCTCACTATGATGCAAAGAACGCACAGCCAGGAGTATGCCCACTCCATACGCTTGGATGGGGACATCATTTTGGGGGGTCTGTTCCCAGTCCATGCAAAGGGAGAGAGAGGGGTGCCGTGTGGGGAGTTGAAGAAGGAAAAGGGCATTCACCGGCTTGAGGCCATGCTTTATGCAATTGATCAGATTAATAAGGACCCAGATCTCCTGTCCAATATCACACTGGGTGTTAGAATCCTTGACACGTGCTCCCGGGACACCTACGCTTTGGAGCAATCTCTGACGTTCGTGCAGGCTTTAATAGAGAAAGACGCATTTGATGTGAAGTGTGCTAATGGAGACCCGCCCATTTTCACCAAGCCCGACAAGATTTCTGGTGTCATCGGTGCTGCTGCTAGCTCTGTGTCCATCATGGTTGCTAACATTCTAAGACTTTTTAAGGTAGGTAAAGGCCTTATCTCTCTGATCCTTGTGTGACGTTAACAAACTGATTTCAACCACAGGTTGCAGAAGAAAATGAAGACAGTACAGATGCTTGACCCTTGTTATTGTCACCAGTTCTTCAGACACGTGATTCTGTGTGAAGGTTTCTACATGGGTTGATTTCGTTTCATTAGATCCATTCATTTGATAGTTTGTTGCACGGCTGCTCCTCTCTCCCCCTCTACCAAAGAGGAAGGTGATAATTCCGGTGGTGTACGGGGTCCTAGTTTCGGTGACATGCTGGGTCATTAACATTTTGGGATACCTTCTTTGTTGCGACTCATTTTAAGTCAAAGCCAACAGTTTTCAAAGCACCAGCATGGCGCACATGCACTTCTATGAGGTTTGTTATTCTCCAGGTATTAAGTAATTTACTTAGTGAAGCCCCTTTCATGTGGGATACTATTAGGATACAAGTTGCTGTGTGGAAAAACAGTGTTCGTTACTGATGTGTAGATGTGAGTGACATCATGGGAGATGAGGGGGTCATACAATTGTCAGGTGTATTGTAACCAGAATGCAGCAGAACCTCATTAATTCAGATAGCTCTCATACAGACTTGGAGTAATTACATATAATTCTGATTGAAGGAAGTTCAAATGTGGCAGGTTAGGTCAAGACTCATTTAGGTTTGATAATCTATTGCCTATCAATTATCTTGATAAATACATCTTGAAGTAATATATGTAAAATACATTGAAAAGTATAAAGTGTCATAATAAACTTACCTTAACACACTAACTTTTTCTTCTCCTTTTTTTGTAATCTCTTATAAGGCCCACTGGTGATGCAGTTAAGACCTCAGCCACTAACTTAAATGTTAGTGGTTCAAATCCACCCCAGGGCTCTGTGGGAGAAAGTTGTGGGAAGCTGCTTTTGAAAAGATTGTAGTCAAGCCAACCCCAGGGTGACCATCTGGTCTATCACATGGGGTTGCTATGAGAGAAAATCGACTCAACAGCATCTAACAATGACAACAGTCTTTTATAATAGACATAATTTTGAAAGTATTAAATTTTTATTTAAAATACCGTTTGCTCAAATTTCTTACCGGGACATGAATTTTCCACCTTATTATAATTGGATGAGATTTAATTATATTATATTGTGAGAAACTCTATGCCTTGTTTAAAAATCTTCAACAGATATGGAGAAGTTAGACAGATGGCAGATACTGTGACAAAAACGAAAACTTGATAGAAAGCTTACTTCACAAAAAAGATGAAAGGAGTTGAGTCAAATGTTCTTTATGTTGGGCAGTATCTTGGGGGGACCAATTAATTTGGCCTACTTTTGGGCTGGAATTCACATAGCTGTCCACCTCGGAATAGATTCTCATAGTTTAGAGGAAGTTAAAAGGCAGACTTGGGATTCCTGGTGTGGTGCTGTAGGACTGTGAACTGCAAGGTTGGCAATTAAAACCCACCAGCCTCTCTTTGGACCCTATTTATACTGGGCTGCTGTAAGACAGAACCAACTAGATGGGTCCTAACAACTACAATAGTAAGAGTCAACACAAGGTCCCTGGGTGACCCAAACCATTTCCATTTGACAGGGTTGCTATGAGTCGGAGCTGACTCGATGGCACTTAACAACAACAACAACTACCCTGAAGGCTGGCAGTTCAAACTTGCCCAGTGGCACCAAAGAAGAAAGCCCTGGCCATCTGCTTCTGTACACATTATAACCAGGGAAACCTTTGGAACAATTCTACTTGCTTGCACATGGGTTTCCATGGATAGGAATTGACTTGATGGCAATGGCTTGGTTTATGGTAGAGGCAGTTTAATGTTTATTTTCTGATTGCTATCATGTTTTTAAATGAGGAGGATGCTGACTAGAAGCTGTCTACACCTAAGGAGTCCTGCAGAGGCACAAACAGACACCAGAGAATGCTGGAGGTGTTTCTACAAGACACAAGGAAGAGGCGTCTTGGTAATGAGGACAAAAGATTAAAGCAGGAGGCCAAGGGAGCTCTCCTTATCCATCCCCAGAAACCTTCATGAAAACTAGGCAGTTGTTCCTAATTTCTCATGGGTTGACTGAAGACAAATTGCAAGGCCAGGATCCCCCAGCTTTTCCTGACAGGGTGAAATTTTAGATATCTGTCAGCAGCCCTGTTTTTGTGTTATATGGAATTTTCTGCTCCTGTCTGGTGTCCAGTCCCAGCTACTTTGCCGACTCTTTTTCTGACTCCACCTTCCTCCTACCTCCTACCTGCTCCAAATTATCCTTTTCTATTCCTAGCTCAGCTACTGGGACGCAACAGTACTCACTAATAGAGCCCTATGAGATTCTTCTCCTTCTCTGTGCTGTTGTTATGGGCTGTCGAGTCCATAGGTGACTCATAGCAACCCTATATAACATAGGACTTCCTAGGCTGCAAATCTTCATGGGCACAGGTTGCCAGACCTTTATGTCGTGAAGCTGCTGGTGGGTTCCAACTACCAACCGTTGAATCAGCAGCTGAGTGCGTCTCCATTGCTCCACCAAGACTCCTTTCTGCCTGTGTAGCCTTCCCATAGACGTTGATTCAGGTTCCCATCAACCCCATATGATTCCTGACAATTCCACCTCCTTCCTGTAGTCTTGTGTCTAGCCAACAGTAGGTGAGAATTTGGGGAGGGGGGTGAAGGAGATTTAAGATGCTTATTTGAGGTTTTTGAGGCTTCTTTACATTATTGCTTTCTACCACAGGCTCAGCAGTAACAAGTAAGCTAGGCTGTTGGGTGTATTTACCAAGATAGTGCAGGTAAGGGCTCTCTCGAGACCGAGCGCTGTCCTTTGGCACTGTGGACTTCTTTTCCCCCTTAAATCGGTTAAATCAGTTGCCACTGAGTCCATTCCAACTCATGGTGAGCCTGTGTGTGTGTCAAAGTGAACCTGTGCTCCATAGGATTTTCAATGGCCGCCGTTTTGAAAGTAGACGGACATACTTTTCTTCTGAAATGCTTCTGGGTGGTCTTGAAACTCCAGACTTTCTGTTAGCAGCCATTCTCACGAACCGTCTCTCCCACTCAGTGGTATAAACTTTTTTCTTCAGATTTTTATTTTCATCCAGGTTGGTTTTAGTTTCTCTCTGCTCCATTTTTCCTTCACTGACTAATTCTTTCCTTATTCCTTGGGCACTTCTGGAGGGACCCAATCTGTCCAGGTGAAAGAATTTCCATTGAACTTTTGGACAGAGTCCATGGCTCTGGGCAAACTCTTAAGCCAGTAGCCAGCACCTGAAGGAGTTGCTCTTGCCAACCTGGGCCCAAGTACAGGAGAGGGTCAGTGTCTTAGACTGGGTTCTCTAGAAAAGCAGAACCGATGAAGCTTATTTATGTATTTATTAAGTGGGTTTTTAAGGGGCACTGGTGGTATAGTGGTTACACATTAGGCTGCTAACCATAAGGTCAGCAATTCAAGTCCATCAAATACTCTGTGGGAGAAAGATGAGGCTTTCTGCTCCCCTAAAGATTTATAGTCTCAGAAACCCTATACAGGGTCACTATGAGTTGAAACAAGGCACTCTGGTAACATAGTGGTTACGAATTGGGCTGCGAACCTCAAGGTCAGCAGTTCAAAGCTACCAGCTGTTCCATGGGAGAAAGATGAGGCTTTCTGCTCCTGTAAAGATTTACAGCCTCAGAAACCTTGTACAGGGTCGCTATGAGTCGGAACTGACTCCATGGCACACAACCACCACGAGTTGAAACAGACTTGGAGTTACAACACAACAACAACAAGAAGAAAGAGATAATTTGTATCAAGGAAAAGGCTCACACAGTTGTAGAGGTGGGTAATCCTAAATCCGGGGGTCAGATAGCAGGCTGGAGGCCTCTGATTTACATAGCTGCAGGTCACACGGCAGGCAGGTAGGTAGGCAGGTTTTGCAGGTAAGAAGGCCTCTGAGGACTCCCAGGATCACAGCTAACAGAGCAACCCATTAACTCAAGTCCAAAGAACCCGAGGTCAGAGGGTGAGCCTGATGCAGGATCCAGACCCAGCAAAAAGCAAGAAAGCTTTGTCTGAGTGCCCAGTATACTGGCAGCAGACCACACCCCTGAGGAATCTTCCTTTCAATTGACTGGCGGCACATAGCAGACCCCATTGTAGAGCTGATCTCATTATAGGGCAAACTCCATCTCCACTGCCGAGCCCAGGCCCAGGCAAGCTGACACAACCTTAACTGTCACGGCCAGTCTTAGCCAGGAGGGGGCTTGGTCTTGGTAGATGCCATGACCAACATAATTGGTGCAGTGACATACAATGAACATTTTGTACATGGAAGTAAGTGCATGTATCAACCAAGTCACCATGCTGGAAATATTACTGTTTCAAAACTGAGTGAGTGTGAGGATGTAGGTGCTTCAGCACCATTTCCCAATGGAGTTGGACCCATGTGACTGTGAGTTAGATAATTACGACAGCCTTGTGTGCTTCTTTCCTTTGATGATTTTATGAGAGTGCTGGCAAGCACGTCACTGTGATATAATTATGAAATGATGATGGAAACTGTTGGAGTAGACATTGGTCCACTTTATATACATGTGATAGGAATGACGTGCTATATTGAAACAGTTATCAAAGGAATGATGAGCACACTAATGCGTTGGGCATTGACTTATTGTTAGGTGCTGTCTAATTGGTTCTGACTTATCTAATGAAACACTGCCTGTTCCTGAATCACTCTCACAATTGTTGTTGCATTTAAGCTCATTGCTGTCAATGCATCTTATTGGGGCCTTCTTCTTTTTCACTGGTCGTCCACTTTACCAAGCATGATGTCCTTCTCCAGGGACTGATTCCTCCTGATAATGTGTTGGAAGCATGAGAAATTAAATTTCACCCTCCTGACTTCTAAGGAGCATTCTGGTTGCACTTCTTTCTACACAGATTTGCTGGATCTTAGAGCAGTCCATGGGTGCTTTTAATATTCTTCTCTAACACCGTAACTAAAATGCATCATGTCT